ACTTGTAGTCATTTCCACTGATTTTTCCGTTGTAATTGGTGTAGATGAAGTGGTCATCAACATAGCAATTTCTTCAGTAGTAGTTAAATATTCCGTTATAATTCTATGAACATTAGGATCATCAGACATGATCATTGATGATTTGGCTGAAGTTGTATTACCTTCCATTAATACTAAATATTTATTTGAATAAAGGAACAAAAGGAAATCAATTGAATAATTTCTGAAGCATTTATTAAATTATTCCACCATAACTAAATTTCATTCAAATAAGAGTAAAATCTATTCGAACAGAATTGTAGACAATACTTTTATCTTATTTGAAGATACTATGGTTGAGTTCAACTACATCTAGAATTTGCGGGATATTATTGTCTGCGTAGATGACTGTAGCGCAACTTTACCAACTAAATGAAGGTGGAGATATGAGTAGTTGTATTCTCATTTCATAGTTCAGTTTTATTGTACTGATAGCAGCAAATAACGATTTTTAGTTTTAACGCTGGATAAATGATGCATATTCCTGAGGGGTCTCAAACTACTACGCAATAATTATCCAGTGCTCTTTGATTTCAATGATTATCTATTTGATATTAGTTCTGAGCATAAGATAATGTTGAAAATGTTGTGCGTCTTAGTTTACAATGGTTGTCTTTATGTTAAAAACAATTGCCATCTTTAAGAAATCTGTTCCTATAATCATTGGATTATTAGGTAGATGTTTTGCAAGCCTACTAAAGTTTCAGTCTAATTCGGTCGTAAGTTTTACTCCTCCTCCTTCATGTAGATGAGAAATGTATCACAAAAATGATAGAACATTACATCAATCAAAATGATTCAAAAATCAAGTGGTGTAATATAGGATGTAGTTTTTTTCAATGTTTACAAAGAAACGTTTCCCATTTAGAAGATACTGAACTTACTCTTATTAAGAAAATTACAACAATTTCCATTGGGGCAAACACTTTGTACAGACTCTGGATTATCTTTGAATAAGTTATTTTCATTTATTAAACTTTTACGCCATATTAACTGGCATAGACAACATTCCTGGAGAATAAAAACTTAATATTATTCATGAATTTAAGTAAATATATCAGAGTGAAATAAGTAAATGTCATAATTTAACCCTAAAACACCAATAAACTGATCAAAAAATAGTCTGAAAATTTCAACTACCTTAAAAACACTAAAGAAAAATTTTTTAGTCCGGTCGTACACAAATCATTTCACAGATTCTGATATAATAATCATGAAATTCTGTTCAATAATCGATTGGTGTACATCAAACATAGGTCCAACCATTATTTCATAGTATTCAACTTCTGTGTTTCTCTTCAACAGATTGTTTAAAGTTAGTAGTTTAATGACTGTAGAGTCTAAATATTCGACGACACTATAATTTATGGACGAACCAATCAGATTTGAGATAACAGGTCTCAGATTTTAGCACAAAATTCATACACTCATTTGGCAAAATACTATTTCGGCATTATAGCTGATGTCAGTTCGTGATGAAAACCACAAAATCTAGTTCCTAATCCTAACCATAAACTGTAAATCATAATTCTAGTTCTTTACATAAGTAGTTATTAGTTACCAATATACTCTTTATACACACTATTTTCAAGTCATACAATGCTCTACAATACTCAAATAAACTACAATTAAATTATTGAGATCATGAACCGATAAATTTTAGATCGCCATTGATAACCTGTAAGCACTGGATGGCCAGTCCGTCTTAATATGGATCTCCTCAAAAGTGCGCATCCACGATCTAGTATATGGGATTCGAACCCAGGATATTCGGTCTCGCATGTGGACGCTTAACCTCTAAACCACTTATCCGTCCTCCAATAGTGTTGATGTTTATTTTGAACCAATTCACGATATTGCACGACCACCTTCCATTGTTTTCGGTGAGTAACTACCTTATATCCAGCATGGTAGTCTAACATTGGTCGGTTCATGATTTCAATTAAAACTGAACAAACTCCACAACCATGTACTTATAATTAAATTAGTAAATACAACCTTAGATTGTAAAATTTAGAAAATAGTCCGAATGAAGTAGTACTAGGTATTTTTGAAGAGACATTAAAATGTCATGGTATGTTCAGATTAGTACATAATAGCAAAGCTATCCTGTATGTTCAATCACAATGAATAATTTTAATGTTAACTAGTTATTTGTTTTTAATCAGCTCACGACAGTTCGTATTGGGATGTTTTGTGTATACGGATACGTGATTACTAAGCAGATCAACCCGGATATCTTTTTTCCTAATTTATACCAATTTATTTTAATTAAGAGCTATAAAGATTGATCAACTGACAACTGAAATCTAGTCAGTATTATGAAAGAGATGATCAATGTCAGCAGTTGTATAATATTCTATCTAAAGTCTGTGCTAATAATATTGTTCAGAAAAACAATAAAAACTCCACAACCAAACCATCTAACTCGGAGAATAAAACTCTACCTAAATATTTTATCAATATATAAGAACTCTCACTTTAAGAATAGCATGTTTAACTTACCCGAGCGATTGGTGTTAATCTCTTGTCAATTAAATGATTAAACTCACCAATCGAACAATTATTTGAATTATATTTAATAACATGATCTGAACCAATTTGACAAGCTTTTAATCTTCTAGCTGATAAACAACAGAAATGTTGAACACGTTGACACCAAAAATGATTTGAAGATAAATTTTCAGCATCCTAATTTTAGTATTTTTTTTAAAATAGTAAAACAAAACATGTTTTATAGCAGATGAAAATCTAATCTAATTTACAGTAGTTGTTTGTTTAATATGAAACAATGTATCATTTGACAGAAAACTTTTAAAGCCATTACCTTTGTAATAGTATTTAATACATTTTGCAGAGTTGCTATATTTAGCATATTATTGTGTAATAAGATATATGCTCTTTGACAAAAATTGATTGATTTGTTTTGATTTGGACATTATTGAATATAAATAACAATAGAATAGTTTTAAAATTAATGGTTACACATTGTTTATCGGTTGCGTTCAATGAACGCTTTTCTTAGGATCAGTATCAATCACTCAAAAATATATAATTTACTAAATAATGAGGGATATAAAGAATTTCACACTAAAGGTCTATGCTTAATTAGATATCTTAATTTTTGGAATAAATACTCATTTTGATAATGATTACAGTTCGGTTAGCTTGTTTTGAACTATAACAATGATAATTTGGTGATTGGAAGTAGTCAACAAGAAACTCTGTTTTTGACCTAGTTTTCGTACTATTTGGCACGCGTCATCAATGTGTACTCGTAATCTTGAGGGAACTGATGCTCTCTAACGGATTTGATCCCATGTCACCCAGCTTCATATTCAGAGACGTTACCATATTGCAACTTGGTTGATAGGATTCGATCTGCACTAAGAAGAACCTGACAAACATGACATTGATCATCAATCAATTATAAATACATCTCAGTCATACGAGAGATCAGTCGCGGCCCGGATAGATCAGTGGTAACGTTTGCGACTGTGGAGCTGGGTGATATGGGATTGAATCCATCAGGGAGTATCAGTTCCCTCAAGATTACAAGTACGCCTTGCTTACCGGTGTCAAATAGTACGAATTCTAGGTCAAAAACAGGGTTTCTTGCTGACCACTTCCAACCACCATCTTATTTTAACATAGTGCACGCAATTTTGAGTCACCTAGACTAGTGCATATTGCAACTTTTTCGATAAGATTCAATCTGCACTAAGAGGGATCTGACATACATGACATTGATCACCACCCAGTGTGATCAATCAATTTTGTTAACAATGACAATAGTTATTATTCTAATAACTATTTTTCTTCTTAAGCTTTACTTTATTGTCAACAAAAGTATTGAGAAAGTTATTTTAATCAATGTATAAAGTTTATTATTTATAAATTTTTGCTACATGAAAGTGAAAACATAATGAAAGAAGCACAATCAACTATATAAATATATATATCAATTAATATGTACAAAATATGACAGTCGTCTCAATTATTAATAACGAGAAATTTCTCTGGTAAGCTAAATAGAAAGAATGGATTTTCAACCTAATTTTTTTCAAATAAATTACTAATAAATTAATGCCTTAATTGATACAGAAATCCACTGATCAGTTTATTGGCACAATTTAGAACTTTCTTAAATGTAGCCTGTAAATATCGTGAGTCAAGTGCACGTCGATTTCATGAGAAAGATTTTTCATTATGACTTGAATCTGATTATCGTTATTTTATAATCCAATATTATATTTGATTAAACAGGTGAATGTTTAAAACATGTTATTTTTTAAAAACAAGTTCTTGATATCATGCACTCATTTCTGATCAGTTTTTGTGGTTAGGTGGGCACACTGAGTAGATTAAATCGAGATAGCCACTATGGCACAAGTCATTTAGAACAGACTAACTGATGCTGGCATGTTTCAGTTTATTTGGGACATTCAAATGTATGTACCTGTATAGTAATGTTTACACCACAACGAAAAGTACTTCATGGATTTCGCTACTAGCTACAATCTGTCTGCTTTAATTATTAAACAGTTTTTTTGAGGTTATACTAACTTTTATAATAAATAACTTGAACGATCCGATGCAGCCATGGAAAATGATATCAAAACTAACGTAGTTTTAATTAATTTAGATTGACTAGTTAAATATAGACATTTAGCAGCTAATTATGTTCGACTATGTGACAGTGACACTTTTTCAATACCATTTCATGTAAATAGATTACTATTTTAGATATGATCTTAGATGAAGTGATTAATCCACTTTCTTCACTCGACTAGTAAGAATGAATAAAACGTTTTCCGACTAAATAACTCGTCGTTTATTGCAATATATTTGTTCTCGTTGATATTTATTGCATAAATTATTTAGGCGAGACTATGAGTTATGGACGAACCATTAAGGTATAAGACAACAGGTCTCGGATTTTGGAGAGAAATTCACCTATCTACTTGGATAAATAGAGTTTTGGCATTATAGCTGATGTCAGTTCGTGATGAAAACCTTAGATATAATTCCTAACCTTAACCATCAACTATAAATCATAATTCTAATTCCTCACATTGGTTTATAACCGTCATTTTGTCCTAGTTATTAGGTGAACACTCTCAAGGTCACCTTAGCATCGCTCAAAGGTCGTCCATAAATTATAGTCTCAGCATTATTTTGTAAAATATTCTTAGATATAAATAACTTACATCTTCAACTACTGATGTACCAAATTGTAATATCTCTGCACATGTTTCAGTATTAGTTATACTGGTTTGACTTGTTAAAATTGGTAAATCTAAACTATGAGCAGCAATTAATCCATCATCACAACAATGTTTAAATTGATTCAAAGTATTCAAAGTTGTTAATTTTGTTGATTTAGGTAAATTGGAACATAATGATAAAAACGAATTTGATAATAAATTAAAAGTAATTAAAAATAATAATAAAATAAGATTTAAATTAAAATATATACACATCTTATTATTAGTAATAGAATAGTTTCTGTTTCTATTGAAATATTGAATAATGCAATTATATAATCCCAAAGTTTTCATATTTTCATACCATATACAAGAGAAGGGAAAACTGATGAAGAGAAACTTGGGAATTCTGAAATAAACATGAAAAAAAGTAAATAAAACATTACGATAATTAAGTGTATATCGTTACTCATTGTAAACATCCTACAAAAACAGGTTGCTTAAGAATTCATTAATGTAAATTAGAAATAAATTGGAACGATACACTTTTACAGCCTTACAATCATAGATGTACTTGTTTGAATTGAATAAATACAGATTTAATGACTAAAACTAAAGCAAAGTCACTGAAAAATTAGTCATTTGTATGACTGAAATGATTGGAGTTTTTACTAGAAATAACAGAATCCCATGGGGTATACTAATACTTCCTAAATGAAAGCTAAGAAATGACAATTGGTTTGTGGTAGTTACAGGCAAGTTAACCGAGTAAGAAAGCCAACAACATGAAAGCATTTACAAGCTTAGTTATGTATATCTTTACAGTTTAGGAAGTTAGACAATCTAACTATTAGCTTTGTTGAACTGAAAGTTTTCTTTTCTCAAAAAATGTATACCCTAGTGATATTTTGTGTAGTAAATAGGTACTAGTTGAAGAACAGAGCAGATCAGTGTTTGGTCGCCGAACGACCTAAAGTTTATGGTTTGATTTTCGGTAAGACACTATATTAGCGCACTGTCCTAAAATCTCAAAACTTGTAACTCATTTGTACCATACTTTATGAGTTTTCTAACCTATGGCATTCATTGATGGAAGAAATATCTCTAATTTAGATCATTGTTTAACATTTACAATCGACAGAATTCATTTGTTTTCTCATTATTTACTAAGGTGTTTTATTTATGAACCACATCTTAATAAACGGCCAAATGTGATTGAAACAAAATTCATTTATTTTATGTTGTGAAAACTTGTTTCACAATCTAAACATTATTCCTTATTTCACACATTTTATTACAACGTAAACCGTACCATTACGTAATGAAGCATTTTGTAATCATCAATACATTTTAAAGTGTGACGTAAACTAAATAAGAACTTTCGTCTAAATTTGAACGAATAGTTTCACAATATTTGGGCGCCGAGTTAATTTGAGACATTAAAAAGAAGAATATATTTGTAAAATCTCAGCGAATAAATTTTTAAGTAAATCCAACGTTTCGCCTGGCAATCTGGTCCAAGCTTTTTCAAGGAAAATATAATCAAACAACAAAATTATCGACGTAAACCATTTGAAAATTCAAAAATACCGGTTGCTTGTTATGAATGAATTGCAGGACCAGACAAAAGTGCAATCGCGGCTTCGAAAAGTGTTTATTTATTGTTGAGAGAATTGTTTATTCTTGCCACACAAATACAAAAGTAGGTATACTAATTTATGATACTATGTGAAGCAACCTGTATATCATACAAATATAATCTAAATAGGCTAATACCAAGAAATATACTTGTATGTATTTATTTATCGACCTATATTTGAACATTTGAGACAATATGTATTCCAAAGCTGATTTTTACAGACATTCGAAACTTAGAATACATCTGAAATTCAGGCTTTCGATACATATAAAGTAAACTTCTGGAATGAATGGCATCAATGGAAACAATGGGATCGTTAATCAGGTCAAAATGAGCCATGTATAGTGTTCCAACGTATGTTTAGTCTAATGTTTACATGTAGTGGAATAAATATTCAATATGATTTAATTAAATCCGATTCAATTAACAAAAGGATTGTATTCGCAATATTTTCAGTGTTAAATCAGATTGTAATACAGTTTTACAAAGTTAGATGAATAAAGTGAAAGGTGATTCTAAGTGATTCTAATTACCCATAAATACTCAGATAAATCAGTTAGGCATAACATTTTATTAGTGATTAGAGGATCGAACATTCATCAGTCTAATAATAGTTTTTTTAATAAGGATCATGTTAATAAATAGAAAAGAATATCTCGGGACAACTCAGTGACAAAGCTAAATGTATACGAAAAATGTTTTAATTGACTGGTTTTTAATTCACGTTTTAGAAATTATCTACAGATGATTTTAGGATAGACTAACGCACTCCTACGCTGGCTTTTGATTAGATCCAGATGTTAAATGTTGTACGAAATGTAGAAATTATCTGATCTGATGCTATAAATTAGAAAACGTTAAAAATTAAATATGAAATTAAATTATGGAATCGATTTTGCTAGTAAAATTATGAGGATCTTTGTGTTATAGAATGGGAGGGTAGTTAGACGATTTTGCACAATTTTTCCTTATAATGTATGTATAGACATTTCCCAATAATCTTTGCTTCTAGTTAGTATCATATCAACTTTAATAACTATGTAATCATTGGTATGGTTAGGTTTGTAGAAATCGTGAAATTTTCATAGTTTAAGTCATGAGTTGATCTCAGCCAGACCAACATTGAAAACATGGTGAGACGGGAAAACTGTTTCGTCACTGTATGAGACATCTCGTCAGTGAACATCCACGACTTCGCATACATAAATCGAACTCAGGACCTTCTGTCTCGTGCGCGAACGCTTGATTGCAATTAGATGTGTAAACCATTGGATGTTGGCTCAGTGATTTACAGGTTAAGCGCTTGCACGTGATATAAAAGTTCCTAGGTTCAATCCCTGCATATGGGACCACAAATCCTCACTCATGAGGAGCTTCATAGTAAGATTAAATAACCATCCAGTCCCGCCACGTTTCCAATATTGATCTAGTTAATGTGTACTTGTTACTTAAACCATGAAAATATATAATCCTTTAGTGACTGAGTTAACTAAATATTTATCTTATCAAGCAATGTCACTGATAAAACGCCTTAATTGACATACGATCGTAACATAATAGAAGTTGATTTTGAGTTATACTGAAATAAAATAAACGGTAGCATTGATAAAAGTGAGTATTTACAGATCTATAAATTTATTACATAAATTTCTTGTTCTTTCTTCAGCACCTCAACAACGAATGACTTATTCATGAATAAAAAAAGTTAATTATACCTAAATAATAGTTATAAATCAAGCAATTGGAAAGCACAAAATAATTAATGAAAATATAAGTACATAGATGAAACTACTCCTGAGCAGCATAATATTTGAAAATATTAACACTATTTATACTGTGAGTAGAAGAACGTTGTAAAAAATTGTTAGTTAAGAAGATATATGAATAACCACGCCAGATAACACAGCTATATACTATATAGTGAATGGGACTTAAGTCACTGTATGAGATTTTTGGTTATTTTCATTCACAAAAGACTGATCTCTATAACATATTTGCTTACATGTAAATAGGATTGAAGGCATTCAATAAAGAATAAAGATTGATCATTTACCAATCAATATGGCTTTTTAAACTTGATTAATTTACTCTGAAGAAGCAACCTAAATAAAATTAAGAAACGATAGAAAATTTAATTTTTACTGGTTGAGATGTCACAAATATACCATTATTTTATTGTGAATATGAACTTTGTTGTCAGCTTATATACGGCCTTGATGTTAATGAAAGTGCGCACACTTATAATGCTTAACAAAATTTAAGGTGCTCTAAATCTCTTCTGGAAGTCGACTGTAATGTTACTCCAAGTAGTTTATATATATATATATATATATATATATATATATATATATATATATATATATATATATATATATATATATATATATATATATATTAGTGAAATAATGAGTCGATCAATGTTAGACCATAATTGAAAACCAGGAAGCACTGGATGGCCGGTTCATCCTAGTAGTGCACACCTACGACCCACTACACGGGACTCGAACTCAGAATCTTCACACGCGGGGTCCATTATAAGACGTTCTGTAAACGGTTTAATAATATCCAGACAAACTGCGTTCGCAAACCGAAGACGTTTAGTTCAATCAAATATGATTATCAAAATTATACTAACCAGTACTATAAAAAAGTGTTAGTTGTCAGTCAATATTTAGATTGTCTGAACATTATTCATAACATGAACCTATTCAGTCATAATTTAATTTAACATCAAAACGATTATTATACCGGTAACAATCGTGACCTAAACCATTTTGTAATGAAACATGCATTGAGACTAAAGTAAATATATGACACAAAGAGATAAATAAACAAATAGATAAGTAGTTGGTCAGTCATTTAGACACATTAAAAGATTTATTCGGTTGTTTTGGTGAAATATATTCTAAATTTTAAAATTTGGGGAGATAGGCTTTTTAAACATTATGTTAACAATAAATGCTTATGCTTAAATATGTTGTGATATATATAATTTTGTGGATACTTTTGTAACGTTTCGGGTAGTTTCCACCACAAATTTATATTTTTTGAAGAACTGTTGAAAAACACAGAGGACTAAGGAATTTCTTTCTATCTGCAAACTTTAGTGAGCAAGCGCAAACTGACAGAATTTTAGAAAAATTTTCGCCACTTAATTTCCAGTCAGTGTTCAGAAATATCATGATTACCACGATCGTGTGGATGCTTACTTACTTACTTACTTACGCCTGTTACTCCCAATGGAGCATAGGCCGCTGACCAGCATTCTCCAACCCACTCTGTCCTGGGCCTTCTTTTCTAGTTCCATCCAATTCTTGTTCATTTTTCTCATGTCTATCTCCATTTCTCGGCGTAATGTGTTCTTTGGTCTTCCTCTTTTCCTTTGGCCTTCAGGATTCCATGTGAGGGCTTGTCTTGTGACGCAGTTGGGTGCTTTCCTCAATGTGTGTCCTATCCACTTCCAGCGCTTCTTCCTGATTTCTTCCTCCGCTGGGATCTGGTTTGTTCTCTCCCACAGTACGTTGTTGCTAATAGTGTCCGGCCAACGGATCTGAAGTATTTTGCGTAGACAACTGTTAATAAACACCTGTATTTTCTGGATGATGGCTTTCGTAGTTCTCCAGGTTTCTGCCCCATACAGTAGAACTGTCTTGACATTTGTATTGAAAATCCTGACCTTGGTGTTGGTTGACAGTTGCTTTGAGTTCCAGATGTT